TCACTTAAGTACCTTTTTGGATTACATATATGTCATCGAGACACATCTAGTTCTCAATAGACTCATGTTCCCACACTCGTTATCGAGAACATATATAGCCCATTAAGAGTCTATGATAACCCATATTCAGTTATTTAAGTGTTCAAAACTTATATATTTTGAAAGTACCAACATTGAGAGAACTCCATTAATTGATATGTTGTAGTTAGCCAACGCTCCTTCCAAAAGCAAATACGTAAGTTGTACTATATATCTTGAACCTCATCAGTCATCATATTCAGCAATATTTCATTCTTTCAATCTAATACACCATATAATTATTGGATATTAAAGAATAGTCAATCCAATAAGAGTTCCTCTCATTACATAGATCACTGATTTCTCATGATAGAGATTCACGCTGTCAAATTGTTCTTAAAATCTTCACTTCCATAATCTGATTTTCTACTCAACTTCATAAAAGTCTAATCAATACAATATCTTCAACTTAGGAAAATCGGTCTCATAACTAAAGTGCATGAATCCATCTATAAATGTAATGAAAAGTAAAGTTCCATCTCTATCTCTCTTAATCACGGCCCACAAAGAAATTCGGATGGATTTATTCTATAGAAGTTCAGCTCTTACAGCTTTGAATGGTTTTCTCAACTCAAAACCTCAAGCCATTGTACAAAAATCCAGAACCATAATAAACATCACCACTATGAGTACGAACATAACTACCACGTACAAGTTCAAGTAAGAGACCCCTCTTAGAAGAACAATAATTGAGATCAGATTCAGTAGAGTCTTTGATACTATCTCAATATCATGTAGGAGGTCAATTTCTCCACTTTTCAACACTAAGTTACAATACCAGTCATATAAACCTCCACTCCATCTTCACTATTTGTTCATATCTATTTTGTATCAAGTCAAATACTCAACAATAGACTAATATGCTTCTTAATCTCATATGAGGTGGGTTTCTAACCCTTGAATCCATTATCTACACAAGATAAGATCCAATTTATATAGTGTTGATACTAAACAACACTAAGATGAATATATTCAAGTGCAATATCCCTTAGCTTAACCACTTTCGAGCTAAGAGATTCAAACCATATAGTTAAAGCACTTGAACCTTTATAACATTGATCCTCTACCAAAACCACTTTCATTCACTTACCATCTGAAGTTCTTCTTGGTCCCTTTAACAGTCTCCCACATCCATCCTGCATTTGTTCTAGCTCATTTAATGCTTAAAATTCAAAGTCTTATGCAAGCTAGAACATTGCTACACGAGCATGTCCTTGAGACTTAGCAACATCAAGTCACACGTCTTTTAATTCACATAGCCGTGGTGTCAATAAAAAATTGACACTTCTATTTATAACTCACAATGACTTTCAAAATTTCCTATATTAAGAAGAGACTAGTTTGAACTTATTACTCATCTAAAGTTAGTGTGACCAAAGAAAATGTTAACACTATGCTAACCACCAACTAAGTCACATTTGGGAAAAATATTATTTATAACAGAACTTAACAATTTTAAATACTCAAGTAATAAAATTCACATTTTTTTCATACTCGACAAAGTTTTGATCTTTATTCTTTAGAGCAGTATGACCTACATAAGATCTTCTATTACGTGATTGATGTTCTCTAAAGCATCAATTTCCTTCTAGTACATTTAAAATCTGATCATGCCAAATGTTATCACATTTAGTTTATCACATTTATTAAAGTTAACTTCTATAGATTATGATGCCATGATCTATCAGATTTTTAGAGACGTGTTATTCTTAATTAATGCGCATTTATGCACATATTTAATTTTGCATTAACACAAATTAACATCTACGATAGTTCAACGTTAGGCACAGAGTCGAAAGTTCGCTATGTTCCCAATCATCGTCCGCAATCCTATTGTTTCACTATCATAAACTTAATTTAATAATGCAAAATTTCATGGGTTCTAAGTGAGAATTGCATTAATTCTTTCAATTTCAAAACCCCCACTCAGTTGGTGAATCAGATAGTTCTTGGTAAGATTTTCTCTAAATCTTCCAATTATCAAACTATCACTCAACTGACAATCAATAGGTCTAAATAAAAATTTCACTAATTCTACGGACCTTAGCATTTATAACAATACACAAGTTAATGGATATCATGCATTTCCATCAATATGCACATTTATCTAATCATGTAATTTCATAATGTGCAATTATGACATATCATGATTATCAACCACGCTTTAATATCGTTGCAACACAATCCCAACAAATGGGAAGTGACATCAGAAATTTCATATTCTGCTTATCACCAAAAATGTCCCCAAAAATATTCACGCATTCCACTAGGTTATATTTCAGATCCATGCAGTTTTTTAATTATAGTAAGCACATAGTTTTTTAACAAGTTCTATAATCCTTATTTCTCTAGCATTCCCTCTAAGGATGCTATAAATGTGCATAGATGTAATAATATATACACAAAATTCGAAACAAGTCACAATGGATCACATAATCTAATCAAGACCCACACAACTCATGAACGTATATAAAATGTGGTATTTTAAATACATTCGGAGTATTTTTCATTTACAAAAAATGAAACACTTAAAAAAAACTCCCACTGGGCAAATACCACTTAACAAATATTCTTGACCTTTATGAAAAAATTTCAGAATTTAATTGAATCCAAAAAAAATATTTTTGCTCATCTGAAAATTAATTTTAATTAAACACAAAAATCAAGAATATTTGAAGGACCAATTTTGTAATTTTCAAAATCAAAGTCGGGTCTCGCATGAATCCTCATATGCGTGACCAATTTATAATCTTTTAAATTGAATATCGAATAATCAATTTTCGAAAGAAAATAATTTTGGGACCAATATACAACTTTTCAAATTGGTATTGAAATAAAAAAACATCCAAAAATAGTTTTGGGACCAACATGCAATTTGAAAAATTGCATTTGAAAACATTCAAAAGTGTGGTGACTAACATGCAATTTCTCAAATTGCATTTGGAATAATCAACATTCAAAAAAGTTGGGGACCAAGATGCAATTTTTCAAACTGCATTTTAAAACATTCAAAAGTGTGGAGACTAACTTGCAATTTCTCAAATTGCATTTGAAATACTTAACACTCAAAAGTGTGGGTCTACCATGCAATTTTTCCAATTGCATTTGGAAATATTTAAAAGTATGGGGACTAACATGAAATTTCTCAAATTGCATCTACAATAATTGAGGGATCAACATGCAATTTTCAAAATATGAATCCCACACAACAACAACAGTTTTTTTTACTATTCATCGTTTCCAAAAAGACAGTTTTTTCAGATTTCTACTAAAACTTCAGAAGGCCATAACTTCTTCAATTTAAGGTCAAAATTTATGTTCTTTATATCGTTGGAAATGTCTCGAGAAGATCTATCCAGCATATAAAATGGGCAGTGTGAAACTTAACGTGCAAGAAATTATCATGCGATAAAATTTCAATTTTCTCAACAAGTGTTCAATTTTCCTCCCAAAATACAAAGTCAAATAACATGAAATTTTCTAGATATGTTCTACATAATACCATGAACATAAAGTATAAATTTTATGAATTAATATGAAGTACAAAAAAAGTTGCCATTAACGACATTCAAGTTTTGAAAGAAAAATCGGAATTCATGCATTTCAATCATTCTATGACATTTTCAACCTGTGTTTAAGCAAGAAAACAACATACTTAGGCTCTGATACCAATGTAAAACGTGTTTGCATACTTATAACCAAGTTCCAAGTAGTGATACTTACTTGAAACCAGAAAATCGAGGTTGAATTACTTGCCTTTGTTTCGCTTGCTTTCCACGCCATCTTGTATCTGCTTCTTGGTCAGAAATTCGATCACAATTGAAGGAATTTGATAGCCACAATCCAAGAACCCAATTTGAAATGTTATATTCCAAAATTCAAATCTTTTTCCTCATGTATTTTCTTTCACACCCTTTAACTCGAATTTTTTTTTTTTTTTTTCAGAATGATGAACAATGGAAGTTGAAGGGAGTTATTGGAAGTGGGGAGGTTAACTTTTAAATTCAATTTTCAACCCCTCCCTCCAAAATCCATTTTCATGCAAATCGGATCGGGTCAATCCACATGGGCGACCCGTTTTCTTCCAACAATTAAATTTCCCATATTAGGTAATTCACATGTTTTGTTGTACTCATAAAAGGATTGATGGAGATAACACAATAGTAAATACTAAATAGTCCTCCTTCCCATAATCCCATTGAAAGGTTTTCTCCAAATTCTCTTCTACAGTTTGCTCCCAAAATTACCTGAGCTTTCGGTTGAGCAAGGTTTTTCATCCCTGAAGCTGGCACAGCTTTTTCATCTAGAATCAAAAATGGATCTACCATTGACCTTTTCTTTCACTATGTTATTATTTCCATCATGTGCTTGATAGCATTGCTAACAAATGTTTCTGGTAAGGCTTGATAGCCTTTTGTTTTTTATCTTGCACATACTGACTGGTTAGGGTATATATATTTACCCTTCCGAGCTTATTCTCTCCACCAACCTCCTCTTATAACTTCAGTTATCACAAGACTAGTGTTTTTTTCAATCATAGTGCTTGACACTTTTATTTTCGAAGTGGTTCTGGTATTTTTGTTAAAATTATTTTCCATCAAAGTTAAATTTCTTAGTAACTTCATTTTGTTTTGTACCTTTTGTGATGTAGAATAGATGGTCGAGTAGATTGAAGAACAATTGAACAGAAAAGGGGAAAACAGTAAATTGCAGATTTGGCGTTCGAGATTTGGTTTGAGCCCATATTACCTTTTTGAAAAGAAAATGATGAATCGGACTGAACTCACCGTTTCACCGTGATTTATGGTGGATTTTTACCATCCGATTTTATTTTGGACTCGAAAACTGCTTTTTAAATTTTAGTGCTATTTTTGTCATTTAGTTTATTTGAAAGCTTTTAAACTATATTTTCATCTAAAGCCTTATAAATAAATGGTTACAGTTTATTTCAGTTTATTTAACAGAATCACAGACATGAAGCAATCAAAGTTATTACATCATCAGTACATAAAATATGCATTTGCATCAAGTGCTGAGAGAATAAATGATTTAACCATCTGTGACTGGGAAGCCGATTCCATGTCGTTTAGTGGGGAAGACAACGAACAACATACTACATATTACCCCAATTCCGACCGGCAGTGCTGTGAGGACCTCTTTTGTTCCATCTGATGGCTGTGGGTAAAAGCAGTTCACCACATTTTGATTAAAAAGTGAAATGGCTGCAAAAACCAGTATTGACGTCAAGGCATGGACAAAATCTATAAATTTCAGCTTGTACTTTGCTGCCACTTGAGGTGGTAGATTCGCTGATCCATCAATGATCCACAAGCCACGGAACGTGGCAAACCCGTAACAGACATTCCCCTTTGAGTCTTTGAAGCTATCTGTGAAGCTCAATAAAAAACATGACAATCCGCAGAGGGTCACCAGACCAGCAGTTAAGGATCGACTCGCTACATCACAATCACCTTGGTTTGAAAATATTGGTGACAGAATTTGAAAAGCAAGCACTGAGCCGGTGGGTAGAAGATTGGCCAGGTGGGCCGTGCTTACAAATGTCTGACTAATGGCTTTTTGTATGAGGTTTTTCTGTACTTCGGGTATGGTCGATTCTACCAGTAAGGGAATTTCTTCGTCAATTATGTTCCTAGATGACTCGTTTTCTTCCTTAATCTCCATTGTAGGAATTCTGAGCTGTTGCGTCTGTTTGATACTCGACAGGATTGTTTTTTAGCAAGATTATTTTGGTAAGGTGCATTTATAGATTATTAAGTTATTGGATTTTAGTGTAAGAGAAGGAAAATGTGAGTTAGCAATGCCTTGCAAGAAACAGAAACATAATGGCAGTTTACTTTTTCAGGTTTGGTAGTGTTGTTATGTAAAAGTACGGCAAGGAGGCAGAATTAAAGTTGAGCTGAAGTTATGGAAGAGAAGGAAAATGTGAGTAGCAATGCCTTGCAAGAAACAGAAACATAAATGCTTAAAACTGGATTACATGGGAGTTTACTTTTTCAGGTTTGATAGTGTTGTTATGCAAAAGTACGGCAAGGAGGCAGAATTAAAGTTGAGCTGAAGTTATGGAACTTGGCTTTTGGGTAAGATTTGGCTTTCCTTTTCCCTTTAACAGCAAACTATGCATTTTTACGTTTAGGACTTGGTTTAGAAGTTCCATTTCATTAGCTAAGATAAGATGTTGGCTTGAAGTGTAATACAATCCCACTCCTTTAATATAGCCGAAATTTAGAATCTTTGGCAGTTTGTGCAAATTTCATTTTATTACTACGAGACGAAGGTAGTAACGCTTTTTTTGGCAGACGTCTTTAGGTATTGTTGTCAATTTTATCCTCCAAGTAGACGGATCATAACAAGTAGTAAAGTGAATATTTTGAATCCGGATTATCGTTCTCACGAGAACTATACTTTAATACTCAATTTATTATTCATAATTTCTATTTGATAAAAATAAACAAAAAAAAAAATGATTGAATGTGATTTTTAAATCTAACTACTAAAGATTTCGTGAACGCAATAGAAAATGAGTGAGAATTACAAATTCATCTATTGGTCACATTTACTTCTAATATCGAGATTTATAGAATATAAAGTAATGTCCGGTCGAATTCTTCTATGGTATTCAATTTACCCATCTCGAATTCTTATTGAGCCTATTTAAATAATTCAATTTCACATCTCTATGCAAATCAACATTATTTAAACGAAATAACAGTTCTAAGAATTCCTATAGGATCGCAGCAATTATTATAGGTATTTCTACACGTTATATTAATTTATCGAATTTTAATATGTGGTCTAAACAAGAATTCATATCTCTACGTAATTATTGTTTACGAAATCATTGAATAATTGACCAGAAAATTCAAAACATGAAAAATATAATTAAAATCCACACATAAAATATAAAAGAACAAAGAGTTTCAAATAAAAGAAATAAAATATCTCAAATAGATTACATTGTTCGCCCTAAAATTAAATTCACCAGGAATTGACGAAACGTAATTAAATTTTCAAATCGATTGTGCCGTTTTTTCTGCAACCCTCGACTTCTACGTAAATCAATTGGAGCTGCAATGTTTGACTCCCGTTTTTCTCCAATTTCAGTCACAAATATGTGTTTTTTCTATTTCTCCCAACCTCCAGAGTGTGTACAAAATATAGTCATTGCTCCCCCTCAATTTCCGTGCGTGTCTATATAATACGACAACATCAATTGTGTGGAAAATATTTTAAAAAATTGGCTACCATCCTTTTCTCCTACGTGTACAAGGGCTGACCCAGACGGCTTAGGTTAGAAGGTCAGAAATAAAAATTATAAATATCTTCTAATAAAAAAAAAGGCTAAACAATTTTTTTCCCCAAAATTTAGAAGGTCAATTGACCTTGTAAAACCGTCCCCAGATCCGCCCCTGTGCCTGTGCCTATGCCTGTTCCTGTACCTATATAAACCAACCCCTATAGCTACAATAGTTGACTTCTAACAAGGACTCCAATTCAAGCCATTAATGCAATATTATCCCTCAAGTCCTCAATCTTTCAATATAATAAATTTTAGTCCTTGAGCAGTTTTATTCTTGCAACCCATGTTTTCTTTGGTTCAATTCAAGTCCTTCACTTTCCAAAGTATAAAATTTAATCTCTTAATTTTGCATCCAATGGCCTATTTAGTCATCGTACTTTGGACTTTGTCATTTTTCGCTCGTTTTTTGCTTCATTTCTTAAATTCCTTTTCATTCATAGAATACAAAATATTTTCTAGATTCTATTTGATAGTCGCTCAAGCATTCAGCGGCTCCCATGGCCGTGCTTAAATCAGTAACCTTCTGTCTTTGAAGTTCCGTGCGTGTCCACGGTTTCAACCCTTCCATAAAGGTGAAGAGCTTATCATTTTCTGACATATCTCGAATATTCAGCATATGCCCTGAGAAGGATTTCACATACTGCCTGATAGAGCTCGTGTGTTTCAGGTCTCGAAGAGCCCGTCGAGCCTGATACTCGACATTTTCCGGGAAAAACTGCGATCTGATCGCTTCCTTAAGGAGATTTCAATAATCAATTTGAATCCTGTGGGCCTGAATGTTCGCATATTTGGTTCGCCACCATAGTTTTGCATCTCCACCCAGATACATGGTAGCTGTGGTTACCTTTCTAGCTTCATCTTCGATCGAAGCTACTAGAAAGTACTGTTCCATATCAAACAAGAAGTTTTCGACTTCTTTTGCATCACGTGCCCCTCCGTAGGTACACGGTTCAGGAATTCTGAGTCTAGGAGCATACTCGGGTACGGGAGCTTGCCCATTTTCCACCGCACGTTGGAGTACTCGCAATTGAGCTCTCAACGCTTCCATTTCATCCTGCAGATCAGGAATGATTGCAGCAGCTTCCGTCATTGCTGCGCAAGCTCTTTGGCTTTCATCCAATTGGATGTGTAATCCACGAATCTCAGATTTGGCCATCTAGACTTTTTCCTCGAGACCTTCCATAGCATAGCACAACCTAGTAGTTGTCTCATCAAGCGCATCCACGCGCTGTTTCGTAGTACCTTTCTTTTGAGGCTCTACCACTTCAGTGGTGTGTGATGTAATTGGATCCATAGCTTTCTTATCGAGGGTCGTGAGCTGCAGCTCTAATACCAACTTTCACGGGGTGCCTTTCTTCTTGGCATAGAAAGGGACACCGTGCGGCAGTAGTCTGCTCCGCTAGACTACCTTCCGCCTTTTCTCGGTTGCATCGGGACGAAAGAAATTTTGATTACAATTTTGTAGAAAGCTTACAATAGAGAATTTGAATACATTGAAAGTAAATTAAACATTGGTTGATGAAAACTGAACATTACAACTGATGAAAGTAGAAAATTACAAATGCTGGTGCAGGGGGCGGACACCAGTGAGCTTGAAAGATTTTTGAATGACTAATACCCCCTATAATAGCATTCTGAACAAAAATCCAAGTGACGGGAGTAGACGTTTAAAAGACGAGGAATCATACTAAACGTTTACCAATATCAGAGCTATTTTACAACTGAAATAACTATTACAATGAAAAGAAAATTACAACTCAAACTTGAAGTAATATTTACAATGTGCGGTCGAAGTTGGGCAAACTGCGGCTGCGATAGTGTCAAGGGGCTAAGTAAAGCTACGGTCTTTGACACTCGGCTTCTTCGTAAATCAATTGGAGCTGCAATGTTTGACTCCCGTTTTTCTCCAATTTCAGTCACAAATATGTGTTTTTTCTATTTCTCCCAGCCTCCAGAGTGTGTACAAAATATAGTCATTGCTCCCCCTCAATTTCCGTGCGTGTCTATATAATACGACAGCATCAATTGTGTGGAAAATGTTTTAAAAAATTGGCTACCATCCTTTTCTCCTACGTGTACAAGGGCTGACCCAGACGGCTTAGGTTCGAAGGTCAGAAATAAAAATTATAGATATCTTCTAATGAAAAAAAAGGCTAAACAATTTTTTTCCTCAAAATTTAGAAGGTCAATTGACCTTGTAAAATCGTCCCCAGATCCGCCCCTGTGCCTGTGCCTGTGCCTGTGCCTATGCCTGTACCTATATAAACCAACCCCTATAGCTACAATAGTTGACTTCTAACAAGGATTCCAATTCAAGCCATTAATGCAATATTATCTCTCAAGTCCTCAATCTTTCAATATAATAAATTTTAGTCCTTGAGCCGTTTTATTCTTGCAACCCATGTTTTCTTTGGTTCAATTCAAGTCCTTCACTTTCCAAAATATATAATTTGATCTCTTAATTTTGCATCCAATGGCCTATTTAGTCATCGTACTTTGGACTTTGTCATTTTTCGCTCCTTTTTTGCTTCATTTCTTAAATTCCTTTTCATTCATAGAATACAAAAATTTAGGATATAATTTGTCAAAAAAACCATCAAATATCGCTATTTAAGGTACCGAATAAGTATATAAAATACGCTTATTAGGTATCCTTAAAACAAAACATTTCCATTCCGTTACATATTTGGTGGCCCAACATTGCCCACACATGTACTTTTTGCACTTATGAGCTCATGACATCCGTACATACATACTTTTTTTATAAGTACTTATTTCACTTATAAGATAGGTCCTTTTTTTAAGCCCAGAACGTGATCTATGTCAAATGGTAACAAGCTATTTTTCAAGTAATTTTTTAGGGCCCAATAGTTCAACATTTCCAACCCATCTTGGGACATGTTGAATGCATCTCTAATGGGCCCATCTGGGCCAGTCCACATTATGGCGGGTAATTCTCCATTACTGTATTAAATGGATCCATATAGCCAGCCCGTAGAACAATTGGTCCAAATGGAAATCCAGCCCCATGAACAAGTATTTGGTCCTATTGGGCTTTAAAGTTACATCTTAAAACGTCAACTTTATTAATAGAATATGTTGGTCGTAGAATAGTCACCCATAGCAGAATCAATATATGTGTGAGTAAACATGGATGTCGGTTCCTCCATATTGTCGTATTATTATATTCAACATACGCTTTAATATTAAAATGTTGATTTTGATCTTTTCGTATTCAAGTTTTAGAAGACGAACATTAAACCAAGTTGCCAATTCAAAATTTCTCGAGTTGGCTACCTGTTCATACCAAAGATTCCTGTGTTTTAGGTTTGGTTATTGCAGTGAATATCACATTTCTATGTGATGTTTTATGAGTAAGCAAATCTTTAATTCAACCACTTTAGCAGTTTTTGAAGCCCTGCTTACCAATAAAGGAAGCCAGT